AAGAATGCTGGTGTGCTTTTTATAGGGTTTTACCAGAGGCCGATAAGGTACCTCCCAGCTGAGATTTTAATGGAAGTGTAAGAGCACCACGGCACCTGGTGCTGCTGTTTGACGTCCACTCCGCAGCGAGCAGCAGATTGATTTTCCATGTGATGATAATGTTATGTAACTATGTGGAGTTGTGATTAGAGATTTTCTCAAGTGAATTCATTAGTGTTTGCTGAAAAAATTGTTTTGATATTCAATTAAGGTGTGAACTAGTAACATATTGAATGTCAGCTCAGTCAGTGGCTTTTTGTGATCAGTGCAGATATGTCAATTCCTTCATTTGGTTTCTTCATTCATTGGTTGTTCAATTTAGAGTTTTTGTGTTCCATCTTTTCTGGATGTATCAGTTGATATCTCCGTAAGTCCCTTTAACACCCTATAATGACCACAGCCCAACCCCTTAAAACCCTTACACTGATTGAAGACCCACTCCCTATAACACCCAATACTGATTGAAGACCCACTCCCTATAACACCCAATACTGATTGAAGACCCACTCCCTATAACACCCAATACTGATTGAAGACCCACTCCCTATAACACCCAATACTGATTGAAGACCCACTCCCTATAACACCCAATACTGATTGAAGACCCACTCCCTATAACACCCAATACTGATTGAAGACCCACTCCCTATAACACCCCATACTGATTGAAGACCCACTCCCTATAACACCCAGTACTGATTGAAGACCCACTCCCTATAACACCCCATACTGATTGAAGACCCACTCCCTATAACACCCAATACTGATTGAAGACCCACTCCCTATAACACCCAGTACTGATTGAAGACCCACTCCCTATAACACCCAATACTGATTGAAGACCCACTCCCTTTAACACCCTACATTGACCACAGGCCAACCCCTTATAACCCTTATACTGATTGAAGACCCACTCCCTATAATACCCAATACTGATTGAAGACCCACTCCCTATAACACCCAATACTGATTGAAGACCCACTCCCTATAACACCCAAAACTGATTAAAGACCCACTCCCTTTAACACCCTACATTGACTGCAGGCCAACTCAATATAACTATACTGATTGCAGACCCACTCCATATATCCACTATACTGACTGCAGAGCCACCCCGTATAACCCCTGTACTGACTGAGGACCCACTCCTTGTAGCATCAGACCATATAACCCCACCACGGACTGCAGACCCAATACCTGTAATACTCTATGTTGACTGCAGACTGACTCCCTGTAACACCCTACATGGCCTGCAGACTGACTCCCTATAACACCCTGTACCAACTGCAGACTGACTCCCTATAACACCCTGTACCAACTGCAGACTGACTCCCTGTAACACCCTGTATGAACTGCAGACTGACTCCCTATAACACCCTGTATGAACTGCAGACTGACTCCCTGTAACACCCTGTATGAACTGCAGACTGACTCCCTATAACACCCTGTACGAACTGCAGACTGACTCCCTATAACACCCTGTACGAACTGCAGACTGACTCCCTATAACACCCTGTATGAACTGCAGACTGACTCCCTATAACACCCTGTACAAACTGCAGACTGACTCCCTATAACACCCTGTACGAACTGCAGACTGACTCCCTATAACACCCTGTATGAACTGCAGACTGACTCCCTATAACACCCTGTATGAACTGCAGACTGACTCCCTATAACACCCTGTACTGAACTGCAGACTGACTCCCTATAACACCCTGTACGAACTGCAGACTGACTCCCTAACACACCCTACGACCTGCAGACTGACTCCCTATAACACCCTGTATGCAGAACTGCAGACTGACTCCCTATAACACCCTGTACGATCTGCAGACTGACTCCCTATAACACCCTGTACTGAACTGCAGACTGACTCCTATAACACCCTGTACAGAATGCAGACTGACTCCCTATAACACCCTATGTACGGAATGCAGACTGACTCCCTTTAACACCCTACGACCTGCAGACTGACTCCCTACAACACCCTGTATGAACTGCAGACTGACTCCCTATAACACCCTGTATGAACTGCAGACTGACTCCCTATAACACCCTGTATGAACTGCAGACTGACTCCCTACAACACCCTGTACGAACTGCAGACTGACTCCCTACAACACCCTGTATGAACTGCAGACTGACTCCCTACAACACCCTGTATGAACTGCAGACTGACTCCCTATAACACCCTGTATGAACTGCAGACTGACTCCCTACAACACCCTGTATGAACTGCAGACTGACTGCCTATAACACCCTGTATGAACTGCAGACTGACTCCCTATAACACCCTACATGACCTGCAGACTGATTCCCTGTAACACCCTGTACAAACTGCAGACTGACTCCCTATAACACCCTACGACCTGCAGACTGACTCCCTGTAAACACCCTGTATGAACTGCAGACTGACCCCTATAACACCCTACATGACCTGCAGACTGATTCCCTGTAACACCCTGTACAAACTGCAGACTGACTCCCTATAACACCCTACACGACCTGCAGACTGACTCCCTACAACACCCTGTATGAACTGCAGACTGACTCCCTATAACACCCTGTACAAACTGCAGACTGACTCCCTATAACACCCTGTACGAACTGCAGACTGACTCCCTACAACACCCTGTATGAACTGCAGACTGACTCCCTATAACACCCTACATGACCTGCAGACTGACTCCCTATAACACCCTGTACAAACTACAGACTGACTCCCTTTAACACCCTGTACAAACTACAGACTGACTCCCTATAACACTCTATATGAACTACAGACTGACTCCCTATAACACTCTATATGAACTACAGACTGACTCCCTATAACACCCAATACAAACTGAAGACTGACTCCCTGTAACACCCTATCCCTCAGACAGTTCACTTGGCAGAATTCCAAAATCTGCTCATAAAGTTTAACTAAACACTAAAGCTTAGAGTTAAGAAGAATTCTATTTATGTATTGATTTCATAAATGTGCTCATACTCATCCATTACAGATTGCACAGTGGTTGCCAACATGACCACTAACTCAACAATCATGGCTGCCATTCTGCTCTTTAGAAAGTAACCTTTGAAGTTGATAGGCCATTAGTAGTGTATTGGTTTTTTCTATCTGGTAAACTGGGAGTCTGTCACTGAAACGTTGACATACTTTATGATCGTCCTGATATTCACCCACAGAATCATAACTGCCAATATACCCTATGTATCTTCACCATGTCACAAAGTAAATTAGTTTAGGGCTGAGCCCAAGCCTTAATGTTGTTGCTTTTTGAAAAGCGACAAGATTACCGACCAATACCTTGCATCTATAAAAGTGTGTCTGATTTTGGCAGGGTTTGCTACACCTGTGTTCATCTGGGTACAACTGGGTGCCGTTGTACAAAGCGATCTTAGAGCTAGGGTGACCGTAACTCCCATACCTTAACATAGACTTGAGGTAGTCATAGCGCTGAGGATGACTGTAACTCCCATACCTTAACATAGACTTAAGGTAGTCATAGCGCTAAGGTACTTTTGTACAACGGCACCCTGGTGTTCAACAAGCCTGCATCTCACGAGCGGTGACTGTCAGGATCGAATAGTCTGGCTCGCTGGCTTGGTTGATGCATGTCATCTTATCCCAGTTGTGTAAATCAATGCTGATGATGTCAATCACAGAAATTGTCTATTCTGGGCTCTATTACCTACCGACCTCTGGGATATTGCTGAGTGTGGGGTTAAACAATTATTGAACAATTAATCCTTGTATTGATATATGTGCTTGGTTACAGACAGCAGTGTGTCAGATCAGATGCGAGTGTCCAAAATTCAGGGGAGTCCTAGAGGCTTTGCTTGAGTAGTATTTGAGGTTCTCAGTTACTTTGCTTGTCATATGATTTGACTAGAAAGAGTGAGTGAGTTGGGTTTTACGCTGCTTGTAGCACAATCCCAGCAATATCACGGCAAGGAAAACCAGAAATGGGCTTCACACATTGTACCTATGTAGGGAATTGAACCCAGGCCTTCCTCGTGATGAGCGAACGCCCCGACTAGACTAGGAGCAGGCTTTCATTCCACTAGTGTTGGGAATCTCATAATTGATGATTGGTTGATTACAACCGATCAATCATCGAAAATACTTGGTTAGCGTCATTTATGAAATTTTCCTGGCTATTTTTGTTTGCACAAAAACATAAGAAAAAAACATGTAGTTCTTTTGCAAATATCACATCTTTAAAGGATGACTAGCATGTTAGGAACATAAATTTCTTCGGGTCTTGAAGATAAATTCAATCATGAATTGGAACAAGCTTGTAGTGTTCATGAAATGTAACAGACTAAACCAACCTTGTGAAAAATATTGTTAATGCAAAAAGTTTTCTAGAATTGTTGGTGTTTGATTATGAGAAAACATGATCGATTGCTTGGTCGTTTAGTCACTGCGACCAATCTTCAATTATTTCAATTAATGGGACCACCACTACATTCCACTAAGACATTCCTAAGTCAATGTTACAGTAGGGGCGGTGGGGTAACCTTATGGTTAAGGCTGAAGACCGGGTTTGATTCCCGTCATGGGCACAATGTGAAACCCATTTCTGGTGTCCCCTGCCATGATATTGTTGGCATATTGCTAAAAGCGGCGTAAAACCAAACTCAACTCAGTTGCTATGTTACAGTATTTGAGTTAAGATCATATTAGTGCTGTCTTCACTTTGTGGTACTAAGACCAGGTGCTTCGAGGGTATAATACACTTGTTAATATTGTTTGAATATTGCTAAAAGTGGCGTAAAACTTAACTCACTCCCTCATGAGACAGTGCTCGTGTATTTGATAGATAACACTGAAGCACTGTCAACTGCAGTAGAAAACAACATCCCCCAGCTGTCTTCAGTCATTGGTTCAGCTAGTGGTGTATAACACAGTTATCCCCCACAGTCTGTATGTATCCATTTTGTTTTTTCAGATGGAGAAACTGATATTCCAGATGCAGAACCCCAAAACCGGTGTTCCAGTCAAGTGTCAGAAAACATTCCTCTCCACCATTCCATCAGTATTCACAGGTATGTTGTCCATCTAGCTGAACCACTCTACCTCAACACTCACATCTACCTGAACACTCACATCTACCTGAACATTCCTCTCCACCATTCCATCAGTAATCACAGGTATGTGGTCCATCTACCTGAACACTCACATCTACCTGAACACTCTATCTGAACACTCACATCTACCCAGATAGCAATGATATGTTGGCCCATAGTTGGCCCATAATCACCAGTTTGGTTGGCCCATGGTTGTCAACCTGACGATGGGCCCACTTGGATATGCTCATCGGCTCCACAGTGGCCCATCATGTTGGCTCATTGTTGGGTCAACGAATGAAAATTCACACAAAACCATGGCCCATAGTTTGCCCAACGTAGTGATTTTGTTGGCCTTATGTTGGCACCACCGTGTTTCAACATTTAGCTCTTTCTTGACCTTTGTACTAAACCATGGCCCATACTTGGCCCAACGATGTGATTTAGTTGGCCTTATGTTGGCACAACTGTATTTCAACATTTAGCTCTTTCTTGACCTCTGCAATCAGAAACATATATAAACAACACAAGTTAATCAAGTGAACTATTTAATTCTTTTTTTTCATTGTTATTTGAACATTATTGTATTTCTTGAAAATATTCTTGTCTTAGGTCTTTTGGCTGTAGCAGCTGACAGGTTTTTCGAACTGCTCCTGAAAAACAACCCAAAAATTTCATGAAACTATCAGATATCATAATTTTTAGACATGAGAACTATCGTAAAAGGACATAGTATTTGACCTTATGTTTTATTGAAACATACAACTTAATGATTGAAAACTTCTTGTTTATTGCACAGAGTGACGTTCGATGTAGATTCTTACACTGTTATCAAGCTAAAACCAAATGATGAGAAGTATATGTAGTATGTTTTGACAATTAGCAGATTAACATTAACAACAACATGTAATTGAATAACAACTGGTACATTATTGGAGAGGCCAGATGGGGACTAAGAACAACAAATGGAATGGTGATGAAGCCAATAAACAAGGGGATTCAGTTGTAACAACAAGCTGATAGGGTGCTTTGATGGAGTCTATAGTTTGATTAGTTCTTCATTGGTCTGTCGTTTTCATGTGACTGCAAAATTTGGTTTTGTTGCAATTATTAGATTTTGTGTTAGTGAGCAATTCATTGGTCTCAAATGAAATCAAACAGACTATGTGTTGGTGGATTACTGGTTTATAAAGGCTCATCGTGAAGACATGTTGTAGGTGGTTCCGCCATGTTCTAGGTCATGGCTGCTGGAGCATGTTCTTAGCGTGTTTGATCAGGGTTGAGATGACGCCAAACTTAGTTTTAGGGGGCTGGTTTGACAAATTCAAATCTTATCCACTAAGAATCAGGACTTCACAAAAGAAACTTTTGGAAGCCATCAAAATCAGCCACAAACCTTTGATCAATAGAGACCAAGGATACTACATACCATTGGGATATGAAGAACTAATCAAACTATAGACTCTATCAAATCACCCTATCAGGTTGTTACAACCTAACATTCCACCCCCTACCCTCCCTTCTTTGTTAATTGGTTTCATCACTAGATCCATTTGTTGTTCTTAGTCCCCAACTGGTCCGCCTCCCAATTATATGTTTATTTGACAAAACATACTATGTACATGTATATATACTTCTCATCATTTGGGTGTAGTCACTTTTAGCTTGATAACGTGTGTAAGAATCTACATCAAACGTCGCTTCCATACAATAAACAAGAAGTTGTCATCCATGGAGTTGTATGTTTCATTTTTGACTCACCAAGTTCTAGAATGCTGTTCAAACAATGTTTTATTTGGATATGACGCGTAACTACTATAACTGTGACACATATATCTGATATGATGATGTTTAGCAATTATTGGTTGTAAAGATGAATAATAGAGAGAGTTGTATATGGAAACAGGAGTGTAACTGACAAACACATAATGTTAATAAAGTAAACATAATAAATTTAAATAATTTAAAATGAAATGAGATTTTATCAAAGTGGTTAAAACAGGCTACCTAAAGAAAAGAGTCAATTAAATCTTTTATCTACTCAATCAATTGCCTTTCAATACAGTATGTGTCAGTTTCTTTAGCCTAAATGATGATTTAAACCAATTATTTCACAAATATTCGCAATTCAGTATCACAGAAATAACAATGCATATTTACCAGTTGAAGGCCTCCAGAAATGTAGTGTCGTCTGCTCTTTGAATATCAGGTAAAGCTATCAATGATGACAAGTTTGGTATTCAGTTTGGAGAAAACAACGCTGTAAAATTCACTGCATCATAGTTGAAAGACAGGGAAATGGATTCATTCTTTTTGTCTGTGTAATTATTTCAACTGTCATCAAAATCTTTATAAGAAAACATGGCTATAAATGGCCGTGTGCTCACTCTTTTATTCACAATGTTGGGCCAACGGTGGCCCAACTTTGTGAAATAGATGTAAGATCAGGGCAAATAGGCAGAGTTTTTCAAATGTTGGCCCACTGTTGGACCAACGTGTCAAAAGCCACCGTTACTTTTAAGTCATTAAGATAACGTTGGGCCAATGTTGTCAAACTGTTGGCCAACCAACCAACCATATACCAACATTGGCCCAACACACCTTTGCTATCTGGGTACCTGAACATTCCTCTCCACCATTCCATCAGTAATCACAGGTATGTGGTCCATCTAGCTGAACACTCTATCTCAACTGAACACATCTACCTGAACACTCACATCTACCTGAACATTCCTCTCCACCATTCCATCAGTAATCACAGGTATGTGGTCCATCTACCTGAACACTCTACCTGAACACTCACATCCACCTGAACATTCCTCTCCACCATTCCATCAGTATTCACAGGTATGTGGTCCATCTACCTGAACACTCACATCTACCTGAACACTCAATCTACCTGAACATTTCTCTCCACCATTCCATCAGTATTCACAGGTATGTGGTCCATCTACCTGAACACTCACATCTACCTGAACACTCTATCTGAACACTCATATCTACCTGAACATTCCTCTCCACCATTCCATCAGTATTCCCCGGTATGTGGTCCATCTACCTGAACACTCACATCAAATGTTACAGATATCAAGGTTTTACCTGACATCAAATGATACAGTTATCACGGTTTTACCTGACATCAAATATTGCAACCTGTAATATTGTACTCTGCCAATTTGGAGAGATGCAAAAAGGACATGCTGTTTGAATCATATGAATGTTACTACAATAATAAAAAATGAAATTGCATGTTACATAGGACTGCGAATTATATTCTGGTAAGAAATACACTCAAAGCCATTTTGGCCTATGTGAGAAGGCAAAGTACCTCTAAAAAATGCCCATTTCAGTTCAATGTACCCTTTCGAAATCTTGTTTTTGGCTCAACCTGGTCATTGATATACAAGGCACAAGCACAAAACCATAATAGAATTTATTATTATCAAACACGTTGTATTCGATTCCCGGAAATTGCAAGACTATTCACTGCGTATTGACACGTACAAATATCTCACACAATTGTATTGTTGCGTTGTCAGCAGTGGTGACGTCATTCAAATCATATTGTGACGTAAAGTCGGAATGACGTCACAAATGAGCAGTTCCAGATGCTACTATGGGAACCAGCTGAAACGGCCAGCTGATGACACTTCACTGCTGTACCCGTACTCGATGTCAATGAGTGCAGACAGTAAAACCCATAGTTTACTTTTGTGTTTACAATGTCGAAAAAGATCATGTGTTGGCCAAATTCCGGGTGTTATTGAGTATTTGAAGCACAGGAATATTTCATTTGAAACCTCTGGCTAACGTCGTCGGTTCCAAATGAATTCCCGTGCTTCAAATACTCAAAAACACCTGGAAATTGGCCAACACATGATGTTTATCTCCTAAGTCAGAAATTTCATGTCATTTCAATTCTGGCTTTTCTGATGATTTTGGGCTGAATATCAGCCTTTGTGTAAGCTTTTATTACTACATGATATTATTGGATGCTTGAGGATATGGCCATGTAAAGATCTTTACAAGGCCTTAATATGGCCCCAATGGCCTTGAACTTGTGACTTACCGTATATTACCATCTATAATCCGAATTTTGAGGACCAAAAAAAGCAGTCTGTAGAAAAGGAGTCGTCTTATCCATGGGTAACGCTTTCTTCAAACTTAAGAAAACAACATTGTATCACTTCGCGTGAACAAACAACAGAAGACGGCTTTGTCAGTAGAGACGTCAAATTTGCAATTAAACATCACTAGACAAGATTATTTACCTTTTAAGTTCTAAGTTGTTTTTGCTGGGCATTGTATTATTTGCAGGGATTAAGATTACAATAAATATGATATTTAGAGAAACAACATATATTATGCATTTTCTGTCAACTACACTTCGTTTCGATCCGTGAGCAGACGCAATATATATGATTGTGAATTCTTTGAATAATTTCGACCAAAGTTATAATTATTGGTAACTGCCAGTTGTCTGTGGTCTGTGTTTGCCGCGATTAGGACCCCATCGCGGGGGATCGACTTATGCATGAAACATACCATTTCGAGACTGATTTTAAGGGTCAAGTTTGGGGGTCGTCTTATCCATGGGGTCGTCTTATAGACGATAATATACAGTATGTGGTTTACGACCCTGCTTCAGGTTATGACCTGATCACCTGGCTGCGGCACCATCTGAACATCAGTGAGGACGACGTGAACGAGGCACTGCACCTGGCCCAGCTGCTGTGTCAATATGGCTACTTCTTCCCCATCACAGACAATAAGACCCTCGTCGTCAAGGGGGACATCTCGCTCTACAGGTTCCAGGTATACAGGAAGGGGGAAATATAGGATTTTTATGGATTTAATGTTCAATACCTCGTGCGCTCTTTTTTTTGAATTATGAATATCGAGGTAAAAAATATGAAATACGAGATGTAAATCCAGAGTGTATTTATTTTCAGGAATGGGAATCTGCGCTATATCCCTTATAGTGATGATACTTTTTACACAACCAGGATATAAAGAATTGGAGGAAGTCATATGGCCAAATTGACATCGGTTAATGAATTGTCTGTCATGTAGAAATTGTAATCCAGCTCTGGTTTGAAAGACAAATTCCCAAATTCTTCCCTTCTGTCTCACAGGGGGGTGGGGTAGTCTAGTGGTTAAAGTAGCCTAGTGGTTAGACACGCGCCGAAGACCCGAGTTCGATTCCCCACAAAGGTACAATGTGTGAAGCCCATTTCTGGTGTCTCCCACTGTAATGTTGCTGGAATATTGCTAAAAGCGGCATAAAACCATGCTCACTCACTCACTCACTTCTATCTCACAGTTGTGTAGCAAATGTCCTGGGCCCCAGTCCACATAGCGGTCCTAGTGCAACAATGACCACCTTTGCGCTAAGATCGCTTTGTGAAACAAGGGCCAATGGTCCTATTTCCCTATGCACATTTGCGTCTCTTATGTGGGACTGTGAGTATGTTTTTCTGCTGCTCTTGGCAATATTCTAGCACCGTGAAAGCTTTGGGGAACGAGGAGGCGACATCAGAAATGAGCTTCACCCATGGTACCCATGAAGGGAACTGAACCAAGGTCTTTGGCATGACAAGTGTACGCTTCAACCACTCTGCTACCCTGTCACCCCAGCAGGTTCTTTAAAGCAGGTTTTTTATTTCTTTCACTGAAGCATTTTTCAACATTCATGAAGTAATTCTGGTATGTGTATTCATTGCTTCCATGAGTTGACCTTGACCTTGACCTTGCCCTTGTATTTCAGTGTCCCTTCTACTGGGCTTCGCATAATGCAGAACCTGACAATATTACATATGGTGAGTTACCTGGATTGTGTCTGTATATAACAAGATATGCATTGCTTAATTTGTCTATCACTTATACCTTAATATCCGAAAGCATGTTTTTGGGAGGAAATAAAATAATGTTCAATTTTTTAATGATTGTTCATTCTGGCTGAAATTATTTTATATTTCTGTTTTCTCAAAGGGACATAACTCTTGGTAAATTGCTTTTGTCACAGGAGTCTTATTTTTCTAATAAAATTTTAAAAGCTGACAATTACTGGAACCCCTGGTTTCACAGATGGACCATGATGATGGTTAAGGGAAGGAAGATAACTTGTGGTAGTGGTAGGTTTGAAGCAGCATATGTTCTTTTTCCGCGTGATGGAGCTTTTTTTATGGTAGCATTTCCTTTCCAGCAATCCATCTGACCAAGCGATCTATGCGAAATAAACAGAAACATGGCTTGGAAGATTACGAACAGGTAATGTATTTGTCATCACCTGTTCCAGGTAAAACATAAAAATTATGTCACAATGTGTTCATAATTAGGACATTTCAAGAAGAATAGGGAAAATATGACTTATATTGTGGATAGATTGCCATCATATATGCTGTATATGAACGTTCTTCTGTTTCAGTACATAGTAATAAAGAAACTTGTATACTCAGGAGGGTTACAGCACATGGGATTTTTGTCCTCAACTTGATCAGGGATTTATTTAGAATTCTAAACTATGGGCCTTTTGTAAACTAATTGTAAAAACATTGTGACTTTTTTCAAAATTTGATGTTCTTAATGTTTTATTTTCATACATTCTGAGATACTGGGAAATTTCATGTTCAGATGAGGAATTTTAACAGTCATTTCTGCAGATTTGGAGCCGATGGATGGTCTTGATTAATCACAGTTTTTGAATGGGGCGTTATCTTGGTACAGCTGAAATATAAAAATGTTGTTCGGAAAATGATGAGTTCTGAGTAACAACTGGAATTATTGGAAAGTTAGTGCTAAGTGAGTGTGAGAAAACTAAACTCATGTTATTGTTTGCAGAATGTGTACATCAAGCTGCAAAAAATGTTGTGTGATAAGTGGGACACAATCCAGACACAGGCGCAAGACCAAGTCAGGTGAGGAGAACATTAGTCTTTGTGACTCCTGGTGACAGTCAGCAGACTCTTGATACCCCTGGGGTAATGTAGTATCCACATTAGTAGTCTTACTGTTGGGATTCCTGCAGAGCCGAGTTGAAGTATCCATACCAGTCTCCCTGTCGGGATTCCTTTGTAGATTAGGACAAAAGTATCCATACCAGTCTCCCTGTCGGGATTCCTTTGTAGAATAGGACCAAAGTATCCATACCAGTCTCCCTGTCGGGAATCCTTTGTAGAATAGGACCAAAGTATCCATACCAGTCTCCCTGTGGGATTCCTTTGTAGAATAGGACCAAAGTATCCATACCAGTCTCCCTGTCGGGATTCCTTTGTAGAATAGGACCAAAGTATCCATACCAGTCTCCTGTCGGGATTCCTTTGTAGAATAGGACCAAAGTATCCATACCAGTCTCCTGTCGGGATTCCTTTGTAGAATAGGACCAAAGTATCCATACCAGTCTCCCTGTCGGGATTCCTTTGTAGAATAGGACCAAAGTATCCATATCAGTCTCCCAGTCGGGATTCCTTTGTAGCTTTGTAGAATAGGACCAAAGTATCCATATCAGTCTCCCTGTCGGGATTCCTTTGTAGAATAGGACCAAAGTATCCATACCAGTCTCCCTGTCGGGATTCCTTTGTAGAATAGGACCAAAGTATCCATACCAGTCTCCTGTCGGTCTCCCTGTTCCTTTGTAGAATAGGACCAAAGTATCCATACCAGTCTCCCTGTCGGATTCCTTTGTAGAATAGGACCAAAGTATCCATACCACCTGTCGGGATTCCTTTGTAGAATAGGACCAAAGTATCCATATCAGTCTCCCTGTCGGGATTCCTTTGTAGAATAGGACCAAAGTATCCATACCAGTCTCCCTGTCGGGATTCCTTTGTAGAATAGGACCAAAGTATCCATATCAGTCTCCCTGTCGGGATTCCTTTGTAGAATAGGACCAAAGTATCCATACCAGTCTCCCTGTCGGGATTCCTTTGTAGAATAGGACCAAAGTATCCATACCAGTCTCCTGTCGGGATTCCTTTGTAGAATAGGACCAAAGTATCCATACCAGTCTCCCTGTCGGGATTCCTTTGTAGAATAGGACCAAAGTATCCATACCAGTCTCCCTGTCGGGATTCCTTTGTAGAATAGGACCAAAGTATCCATATCAGTCTCCCTGTCGGGATTCCTTTGTAGAATAGGACCAAAGTATCCATACCAGTCTCCCTGTCGGGATTCCTTTGTAGAATAGGACCAAAGTATCCATACCAGTCTCCCTGTCGGGATTCCTTTGTAGAATAGGACCAAAGTATCCATACCAGTCTCCTGTCGGGATTCCTTTGTAGAATAGGACCAAAGTACCCATACCAGTCTCCCTGTCGGGATTCCTTTGTAGAATAGGACCAAAGTATCCATACCAGTCTCCCTGTCGGGATTCCTTTGTAGAATAGGACCAAAGTATCCATACCAGTCTCCCTGTCGGGATTCCTTTGTAGAATAGGACCAAAGTATCCATACCAGTCTCCTGTCGGGATTCCTTTGTAGAATAGGACCAAAGTATCCATACCAGTCTCCCTGTCGGGATTCCTTTGTAGAATAGGGACCAAAGTATCCATACCAGTCTCCCTGTTGGGATTCCTTTGTAGAATAGGACCAAAGTATCCATACCAGTCTCCCTGTCGGGATTCCTTTGTAGAATAGGACCAAAGTATCCATACCAGTCTCCCTGTCGGGATTCCTTTGTAGAATAGGACCAAAGTACCCATACCAGTCTCCTGTCGGGATTCCTTTGTAGAATAGGACCAAAGTATCCATATCAGTCTCCCTGTCGGGATTCCTTTGTAGAATAGGACCAAAGTATCCATATCAGTCTCCCTGTCGGGATTCCTTTGTAGAATAGGACCAAAGTACCCATACCAGTCTCCTTGTCGGGATTCCTTTGTAGAATAGGACCAAAGTATCCATATCAGTCTCCCTGTCGGGATTCCAGGGTGTGATAGGATCCTGATACATGCTTGTTTCCTTACTGGGATTCTTAAAGGACCACATTATCCACATTTGTATTCCTGTTCAGAATCAAGAATAGAATTTGACCATGATACACAGGTTTGTCTTCCTGTTGGGATTCTAGGACAGAAGAAAACCATACTTCGAACACTTATGGCAGAAGATAGCATAAGTACTCAAGCTTGTTTCCTTGTTGGGATTCTTAGAGTGAACTTGATCCCATTTTGTTTGTCCAGTGTCGGTTCTAGGAATGAACTGTTTGTCTTGATGTTGGGATTCGGGTGAGGAATAGATTTAAGTGCTTCTTTCCCAGTCTGGATTCTAGAATTTTATCCAATCTGATACTGTATGTAGTGATCATATTTTGTCAAATCTTGCATATTGCTGTCGAGAAAATAACAGTTGAGAAAATAACTCTGTTTACACAACACTCCTCTGTTTTAATGGTGTGGAGAATAGCTAACATACATGATAAAACTTTCATGCATATTAAATTTTATGATTCCAGATTGGCTAAAGAGAGAAAGAGGACAGATAAAGTCATCACTGACAGTCAAGAGAGAGCTTTCTGGAGAATACACCGGCCACCGGTAAGGGGAGACAACTTTGCCACATATATGACTTGTTTGGAAACCTGTAAATACTATATGTATTTGTCAACTATTTGCCAGACAACACACTCAAGCACAGTGCTGACTCAGCATACAAACACAGCCACAGGCTAGTTTGCATATCATGTGACCAGACTTTATTCTTGTTTTGAAAAATATGGAATCAGTCCAGAATAACTGACATGTTATGGTTCAGCTTACAGATTGTTCAGCGTAAATCTCAAGGTATTCTACTGCACTTTCAACCATTAACTATGGTTGTAACAAGTTCGTTATAAGAGTAGTTCATTCAGATTTAGCATGAAGTTAATTATGTGTAGGTGGAGATAGGAATTGTTTTATCAATGCACATAAGGAATAAATAATGTTACGTTTAATCATATATCATGATAACTTTGAGCTGCACACCTATCCAATCAGTGACACCTCTGGACAGAGTAGATGTATAGCTGTTATACTGTCCAACAACAGATCAAGATATGATCCTCGTGTTATGCATGATGATGATGATGATGATGATGATGATGATTTCATTTCTGCAGCCTGGACAGATGAGGGGAATTGAAGAAGGGCCAAAGAGATACTTCATGATTAGACAGATGGAGGACCGTAGAAAGAATAAGGACTTTCTACAGAAACGGGTAATATTTCTCACCATATGCACTGCCATGTTTCTCAGGTCTGTGCGTATGCTTAAATCAGGCAATGACTGACTTGAGGAAATTTAGTTTGAGACAGACTTTGTATCGTCAGCGTGATAAGAGGTGTAGCTCTGTAGTATGTTTTTACAATTAATCAACATCCATGTTGAATACTTTTGTAATAGAAGTGTAAATCATGTTTGGGAGTGTCTGAAGGTGAAGTTCAAGCCCAGAGAGCCATACAAGGGAGATAACTATGATGAGCATTTGAGACCATTTCTTGCATTTTGTTCAGGTTGGCTCAGGATCAGGTTAGCTCTGAATTGTTTGTATTACAGTCTTACAGTTTGCTTGATGATAACTCCTTTGAATGTACTACCTCAATCATATTACAGTATTTCTGTATAATGGCTGTTCTCACTCTACACGACATTAAGATTTTCAGCTGCCTTCTTCACTGTCAGCTGTCAACCAGTTAGAGTGCAGATATGATATTCCCACCAAAACCTATTCAACACATGCACAAGGTGGAAATTACAGTAATACATGTAGTACATCGTTGATGCATGATAAACTGGGCAGGTGGGAGAGACTTATCCTGAATAGGGGTAGTATTCTTAGCATCATACACAATTATAGATATTGTTCTTCTAATTCTCGGGGCGATGGGGTAGCCTAGTGGTTAAAGCGTTGGCTCATCANTGATGTCGCCGAAGACCCGGGTTCGAATCCCCACATGGGTACATTGTGTGAAGCCCATTTCTGGTGTCCCCTGCCGTGATGTTGTTGGAATATTGCTAAAAGCGAATGTATCAGAAGGAAATGATAGGTGACAATAATGAATCACTCACACATAAAACCAAACAATAATGAATAGTTTGTTGGAGTCACACAAGGTCAAAGCCAGAATGTATCTAACTCACTGACTCACTCTCTTCTAATTCTCTGTCTTTAGGTCAAAGCCAGAATGTATCAGAAGGAAATGATAGGTGACAATAATGAATAGTTTGTTGAGTCACACAAGGTCAAAGCCAGAATGTATCAGAAGGAAATGATAGGTGACAATAATGAATGATAGTTTGTTGGGTCACACAAGGTCAAAGCCAGAATGTATCAGAAGGAAATGATAGGTGACAATAATGAATAGTTTGTTGAGTCACACAAGACATAGATGAGCAAACTCCATGAGTGGGTTTATGATCATGATGAATAGATGAAGTGATATGGAGATACCAACTGGAAGAACCAGGAACTTCTTCTGATGATGGTTTACCTAGTTTGTTTACCACCTGAGTCAGCAATCTGTAAATAATTGACAATCATAGTGATCAACAGCATGAGCATCGTTCTACCCAATTTGGAGCCTTAGAATGTGATGGCAGTTTGGATGAATGGGAATATGCAGGCATGCATCCTGTACATTCTTATTAACCAGTGTCTTTTTGCCGAGATGGGCGGTGGGTTAGCCTAGTGGTTAAAGCGTTCGCTCATCACGCCCAAGACATGAGTTTGATTCCCCACATGGGCACAGTGTGTGAATCCAATTTCTGGTGTCCCCCGCCATGATATTGCTGGAAAATTGCTAAAGGCGGATAAAACTAAACTCACTCACTCACTGCTGTTCTGGTAGAGGTGTTTTTTTAGTTCAGTAGATGATGTACCAATATATTTATTTATAAGTACACACAAACACATTAGACATGTGTGTACTTATCAATATCAGGTCAACAGGTGGTGAGAGTAGCAGGCAGTATTTGACTTTTCTGATTGGGGCCCTCTTGCATTGAATGTGGAATCTATATCCTTTCAACAGTAGTGGGAACAGATGCTGATGGTAGTGGTTCTCAGTTTGATTAGGATATAATGATACTTTCCTAACAACAACAACAACAGGAATCACAGGGATGGAAAATCATGTTAGGATTTTCTGTAAGATTCTTTGCTTTTGTCTGACTAGTATATTTGGTTTTTGATTATAGTATTGTATCACTACTCTGATAGAGCTACAATCTGACATGAAACTCTTGTAAACATGGTTACACACCATAGGTCATATCCAGCTGTTGGTTCCTTAGCCGGTGTGAGATAAACTTTGATTTCAAGGTTGCATTTTTGAGCAATGGTGAGCAAAATTGTAAAAAGCATCGCTGAAGTATAAATTTCAAAGATTATGCAATTGTTCAGGCGAAATAGCTATGCAGGACTGATTTAAGGAAGAAACATTTCAAGAGGGACTTCATTCAGACCAATTTGTAATTCCACAAAATTTGATTCAATGATTCACAAAGTACCTACTTACATTGGAATAGTGTCACATTTTCACAAATTACTCTGAATGCTGATCTAATGTTGCAGCTCAGTGGAGCATAATCTTTAAGTGCTGATGTGAAAGTTTATATTCTTAGTAGGATTTGGGTTGATGAAGAACCTTTGCCAACTTACATATCGTCAGATATATTTAATGATAGTATCGGTTAAACAGCAGCATCCATTCTTTATGAGGACGTCCATCAAGCATGGAGCTGGATATCTGTTCATGATGTACATCACTGTGATTTATGAATGAGTGATCGACCTTATTAAGACTCTATAAGCCAAAGGATTCTGCATGGATGTGATTTATTTCACCAATGAGATTTGTGTTTGGCATAAAATATATTTTGAATATTTAATGCAATTTCACAGGTGGATTACATGGATTTCACTCAGTATTGATTATTTTTTTTCCAGGTTCGATATCTGAGGAATGCAGTGAATAGATGTAGGATGAAGACACTGAAGGCAGTTGAGAGGTGAGATGAGACAAGTCTCTGAAACATGGCTGCTTGGCAGGGAAGTCTGTGTTGCATTTCTTATAAGGTTGTCACAGAGGCCATTTTGAAGAATCTGGTAGTTATTGTCATTTCCAAGGTATGGGGAATGAGGAATCGTGATAGAGATTGACACTAGATATTATAGTCCTTGACGAACTTCCCAATAGTTCAGGTGAGATAATGACAAACAGAAATTTGCCGAGTTTGTAGGTTTTGCTATATATAATCATTATGGACTTGGGGACTAAAACTGTTAGTGTTAAGTTTTGTAAGACCTGGTTTCAATGTCTGAAATATAATTCTGGCAGTCTCTGCTATGGTATTCATGGAATGTTGATAAATGAGATTGTATTAAACTCATACTTGATATTTGTAACATACAGATTTCCTAAATTGTGATCCGAGTGTGGTTTCTTGGCCAATGCCACAATTACACAATGCCTGTTGTAAGAGCCTACTAGTGAGGATCAGATGGTTATTATTAACAACCTGGCTTATTGTATCAGTGTGCTTGGTGCTCATGCTATCAACCTCTAGGTTGACAAACCAGATTTGTTTCTTAACTTGTCACTGTGATGTAGCTGGAGAATTGCTGACCTTGGTGTATGATACCATGAAATTGGTCTCACCTGAGAAAACAAAACAATGACAAGTGGATCTGTTTGGTTAGCTGTAGATGATCATACATTCCAGCACACGTTGGCTCAAACATACTATTGAGGTTCGTCAATCATTATAAAGTATTTGATATGAGCTGACTATTTCATTGAAAATATAAACTTTCAACTTCATGCCGTTTTTGTGTTGTCAGCTACGCCCAGAGACATGAGCAGTACCAAGACAACGACAGTTTCCTGACTGCGGTGTTGCCCTCCAACCCGTGGATATCTGAAGACATCACATTCTGGGAGCACTGTGATGACTAGTAGGTTGACTGTACTCCTTTCACGCCTCTTCCGTCGTCATAAGAGCGAAATATTCTCCAGCACGACGTTAAACCCAATTTCACCTCACCTCACCTCATGCCTCTTCCCAAGTTATCTCCCTTTAAGAATGAGCTGCTGAGGTTGTCTGCCAATGTGCTATGTGGATGGTTGGCATAAGAGTCCTCACACAGTCATGATTGTGTACATTGTTGAAATACCTCTTACATATCATTGTCATGTTTTTGGAGTTTCCAAGGGACTTGGTTTTCTCAAATCTATCTGTTAAGATAAATGACTGGCAGTTATTCCAGCCATGCTAGAGTTATTGAGCATGTCTGTTTCTAACCAGCCTAACTCGGTCACATATGATCCTTGGTTATAACACTGGTCCTTTTATATTGTTGAACACTCCCACCTTTGTGAGACCGCATACATGTATTTCACTTGAATGCCACTTAAGCAGCCTGTGCTACTTTTACGCCTTTCAGAGGCAACAAATGTAGTTCCGTCCATATAATGGTGTAAATATTCAAGTCTCTGGCAGACAATCCAGTAACTGACATTTTGAGCATTAACCTACGCATTTGAGGTTCCTTGACATGTGTCAACCAAGTCAGTGAGTCTGATCACCCAATATTGTTAGTCGCCTTTTACGACAAGGACCGCCTCCGTGGTGTAGTGGTTAGACTGTCCGCCCGGAGAGACCGGAATGTTGCGGGTTCGATCTCCGACCGCGTCATACCAAAAGACGTTAAAATATGGTACTTGTTGGTCCCTGCCTGGCGCTCGGCATTAATGGGTACAACAAGGACTGGTCGGCTCGGAGTCAGTATAATGTGTTTGAGTGGGGTATTCATGCTTCACTGCGGCATGGTATCTCAGTGGGCTAGCACTATAAAACCAGCTTCAGTCTGGGCTAGTACAAGCAGCCGCACATACACATACACACGCATGCACGTCGTCATATGAGCGAAATATTCTCAAGCACGATGTTAAACCCAATTTCACCTCGCCTCACCTTTTACGACAAGCATGGGTTGCTGAAGACCAATTCTAACCTGGATCTTCATGAGGTCAGGCTCTTCAGTCTGGTTGATGGCATGTCAGTGTACCCTTATCTCTTTGAACATTGCTTACAATCGCTTACATTTTATTATTTATTGACCACAATCAAATGACATTGAAGCATCAAAGTACAAACACAAATACATGCACAGAAGGCACCTCAACTCCCTGTCCAGAGTTACATCCCTTGTCAGAATCATATGATCATTGCAAATCCCAGATTCATCATGATTATGATCCATGGTGTGAAAACTATACCAGTACTCATAGGCTTTACCAAAACCTGGTTGCCAATAGTCTCTCCTTTCATATTAAGCTGACACATTCATAAAACAGAAATACTGTATTGAACCAACTCACACACTGATGTAATTAAGGGCAATAGAAAATATTATCAGTGTTATGTAGGATGCACAGTGGCCAAGTTGTTGAGGATGACACGTCATTTAGGGATGTGCTTTAGCTATGCTTGGATCCACAGGTTTTCAGTTGTGATGTTTGACCTGCTCAGTCTTGCCTTCAGAACTTTTTGGTTTCACCATTGAGGTGGACCGCCTCCGTGGTGTTATAGTTAGAGCGTCCGCCCAGAGAGCGGAAGGTCGCGGGTTCGATCCCCGGCCGCAATATTCCAAAAGACGTTAAAATATGGTACTTGTTGGTCCCTGCCTGGCGCTCGGCATTAATGGGTACATCAAGGACTGGTCGGCCCAGAGTCAGTATAATGTGTCTGAGTGAGGTATTCATGCTTCACTGCGGCATAGTATCTCAGTGGGCTAGCACTATAAAACCAGCTTCAGTCTGGGCTAGTACAAGCAGCCACACCACACATACACACGCATGCACACGTCGTCATATGAGCGAAATATTCTCCAGCGCGACGTTAAACCCAATTCATCTTCACCTTCACCATTGAGGTGATTGACCAGCATCATTATGCCTTTCCAGACACAACCTACACTTATTGACACTGTATGGGCTCTTCCTGGAGCATTGTTTGATGATGTTGATATATCAAGCCAGGCTCATGATCACATATGCAGCTGTAACTACCCTTGTCTTACATTTCATGATACTCATGACCAATATTTGGCAGCCTTCATGATCTTACATCTGCCCAAAGAGCAGAACGCTGATGGTTTGATCCTTTACCCCGAATACCAATAGAAGTTAAAAGATGGTATTTGTTGTTACCCTGCCTGGGACTAAAAGGACACTGCTGTCAGAGTCAGTATACTGTGTGTGACTGTTGCAAGCAGCAACACACACAAACATTGCTTCATTAAATAAGTTAAATAATCTCCCTATCCAACCCCATGCCACATAACCTGTAACCATTATTGCAAAAGTGCACATTGATGACGATGATGATGATGACAATGACGATGATGATGACAACGATGATGTTGATGACTATGATAATGATGATGTTGATGACGATGGTAATGATGATGATGATGATGATGTTGATGACGATGATGATGATGATGATGATGTTGATGACTATGATAATGATGATGATGGTGATGTTGACAATGATTATGATGATGATGACGACAATGATGATGATGATGATGATGATGACAATAATGATGAAGATGTTACTACTTGTGTTCCATCCTCTCCTCCACCTCTTCCTTTCATCACTTCGGTATAATCTTGCTGATATTAGACTTACATGTAATGCAACAACGTAATCAGAAAGTCATTGTACAGTTTTTAACCAGTCGTTTTGTTTCTTATTGTGGGGTTTAAGTTTTATTTCTAACCCTGCTATGATGTACATATTCAACATTCCAGTATAACTTGGGGCAGATGGGTAGCCTAGTAGTTAAAGGATTTTTAAAAAGGTCACTTCACATTATTTAGTTTAGCTCTTAATGAACCCCTGGGTATATATAATATCCACAAAATACAGTTAAAAACGGTAATATTTCATTATACAGCTTGTATTAGGAATCTGAAGCGCACCTCCCTCGAAAGCATTTCACGCTTACGCATGATAATGAGGTAGTTGGTCACGTGGTCGCGTGACGTCATACCCGAGAGTCGCTACATGAACACACGGAAAATACAGTGGTACAGAGCCTGTTCGCTTACTGAGGTCTGCTTCTAGTTTAGCAAATAAATCAATCCACAAAGTCAAACCTGGAATTGGATGGCATACTAGATACAGATAATATCACATACATGCAACATTTTCAATTTGAAAGTATTTCTAGCGGCAATACCGACAGGAATATTGACGACGATTCCACCAGTTGACAACATACAGCCGTGGGACGATCCCGACTATGTTTTGAATAGACCTACTGCAGACTGGTATGCAAGTCACTTGCCTATCACATGTTCATGGAAAACTGATTAGATACTGAATTAATTTTTCACGGTAAAATGTGCAATCATGATAACGGCAATGTTCGATCAATATGTTGAGCCTGTCTTCCGGTATCGGTATGGGAATGTAAACACTGAAATAGTTACGTTCGAGGTTCATGATTTTATGAAGGTTATTAAGGAACTTTCAGCTTTATTTCATAAAATGCGTCTTCTGCTAAGTCCGTAAAGTTTTAGTATGGTGAAAATCTTTTCTATGAAATACGTAGCCTACCGTTACGGAAGTCGATAAGTTCCATCTCACTACTGTATTGTAGAGAAGTACCCTAAATTCGTTAGTGTATGTTTTCGGAGAAGTCGGTGCATCCATGGGCGGATCCAAAGGGAGGGGTGTGTGTGTGTGTGTGTGCACCCCACCCCACCCCACCCCACCACCCTTTGTGCTCTGAAGGTTTGTTAAATGATCTTTGAAACTCGGGTGGAAATGAAGTGTGCACCCCTCCTTTTCTCAGTAGTGTGCATCCCCCTCCCTCCCTTCTCAAAAGCTGTAGCAGCCCTGGTATCATCTCTGATATGGTGTGTCAAACATCAGTTTTATTACATTTTCAATTTCCTTACACGTGTAAAGTATAGGTTATATGTCGTGATACTTAGTCATACAAATCTGCAAAATATACATAAAATGTAAATTGATAGAGACCTGTAACCTCCTTAACAGCTGATAATAGATATAATAAATAAATATACATGCAAAAATAGAACTGACAAATCCTTATCTTTCTCTTTAACTGTCAGCTAGTGAAAAAGAAAATTCTTCATTGTGTTCTAGTAGTAATGTGTAAAGTGTGATCAGTCCCAAAGAAAGACCATCGATCAAATCCAGAAACCAGCACGCAAAAATTAAAGCAAATAATATATTTTGCATACAAACTGTTTATGACAAAATAATGAATACAATGTGTACACCAACATCATGAAGGCAAAGGCTTGCGTGTAAATTAACTGGATGGACTTGTAAAAGCCTAAGAAAACAAGACTACTCTCCAATAAGACCATGTGACACAGTGGTGACAGCAATTTGGAAACATTTACCATCTGAACAAGTCCCAGAATTCAAACAGACGAATACAATAGACCTCAGGCACAACTGGTTTCAGTTCACACCCTAGACACATGTACATGATTTCATTTTATATCTTGATGTCAGTGAATTCACCAGTTCCTGTTTACTAGTTTTGAATGAAAGTGTCTGGCAGAATATCCAGGAAAAATAGGCTGTTGTGTCCTGCAAGTCTGTAGGAAAGAAACATGTTTCTTCTCCCGAGAATGGCCCTGAGTAGGAATTCCACATACCATGTGAATACATTTTACATTGAATTAGAGACATTTTGTAACACAATTTCAGTATATTTTGTTTTGGCAACCATAATAATAATTTTCTTTGAAATCTGCACTTAAAAAGTAAGTACTTTTGTCTTAACAAATGCTGAGAGGGAAATAAGATATGAGGATTAAAAACCAGTGTCTTTGCAAACAAGACTTAGTGTTGACTCATTAGTTAGGGGAAAATATGTAGTAATAGGAACAGTGCACCAGTTCA